TCCCTCCCTGCCCTTGTCCCAAGCCCCTCCCCAGCTTTCCTGGAGCCCCTTCAGGCACTGGAAGGTGCTCTAAGGTCTCCCTGGAGCCTTTTCTTCTCCAGGCTGAACACCTCAACTCTCCCAGCCTGGCTCCAGAGCAGAGCTGCTCCAGCCCTCCCATCATCTCTGTGGTCCCTCCACTCACTTTGGGGCCCTTTTCTACTCACTCCTTCCATCGTTGCTTTGTGCCACTTAACCTGGAATCCCTGGTGTGAGAATGGACACAAGTGACCTGTCCTGGTGTGAGTGGATGGGCTGTGCACTCATTTATTTATTTTTTTTTCTGAAGATTCTGTGGGTTTGCAGCAGTTTGAGTGTTTGCTGAGCACCCAGAGGTTGTATCTCAGTGGGGAGTCTCCAGTTCTCAGTTGCTCCCTGGTAAAAGCTGGACTTGAATTGTGGAAATGGAACATGTGAGGTGCTTCCTGATGGTCCTGAACTAACTGCAGAGCTTCTTTTGTCTTTTCAGCCTGCGGAAGATAAAAGATCATGATCCAGATTTCAGCACCAAAACCTTCCCAGAGAAGGCCCAGGAGATATTTATTGAAGCTCACAACTGCCTGGCAAAGTAAGAGCTTCTCTTTCCTTACATGCTCTGGTTTTCTTCCTTGTTTTTCTAATCCTTGCACCTTCACTGCAACAAGTATTTTGTCTTTTCCTGCTCCCATCTCTGTGAAGAGCAGAATGTTGGAGATTTGGTCTCTGGCTTTTGATCCATGACAAGCAGGGGGCAGAAAACCCACCCTGCCCTGCAGAGGGAAGGAGCTGCTGCCCCACAGCAGATGAGTGGGTAGAGGCACACTGCAGGGAGCTGTTTGGATGTGAGATGATGCTCCACTGGCTTGCCCCACTTTCCAGGAATAGAACAGGTTTCAGAGCTGCATCATTTTTGGTTACAATTCCAAACACCAAGAGAACATGCCGGGCAGAGCTGGGTTCCAAAGGATCTTGGTGTCTTTTTCCCTCAAGTCTTCGGTTCATGTTCTGATTTTGTGCTGAGGTCACAGCTGAGAATTTGGCTTTTTCAGTTTTGTCAGTGGCTTGTGTGTCTCCTGGGCAAGCAGGGATTTGGGAGCCTCCTGGCAAGATGTGCCTTTGAGTAACAGGGTGTGTTTCACTTCCAGCTTTAACAAGCAGAAGCTTCACTCCCTGGTGACTGAGCGTTGCTACCCGGTGAGTGCTCCTCACATGCAGCCTGTCCTGGGTGTCTTCCATGGTCTCTGGGGCTCCTTAAAGCCTCATCATAGAATCATGGAATGTTTTGAGTTGGAAAGGACCTTAAAGACCATCCAGTCCCACCCCTGCATGGGCAGGGACACCTCCCACCAGCCCAGGCTGCTCCAAGCCCCATCCAACCTGCCCTTCAACACTGCCAGGGATGGGGCAGCCACAGCTTCCCTGGGCAACCTGGGCCAGGCTCTCACCACCCTCTCAGCAAAGAATTCCCTCCTCATGTCTCACCTCAATCTCCCTCTCCCAGTTTTCATCCATTCCCCCTTGTCCTCTCCCTCCCTGCCCTTGTCCCAAGTCCCTCCCCAGCTTTCTTGTAGACTTCCTTCAGGTATTGGAAGGTGCTCTAATGTCTCTCTTAATATGATGGAATTTGGGTTTGGGTTGGAGGGGACCTTAAAGATCATCTAGATCCAACCCCCTGCATGGGCAGGGACACCTCCCACCAGCCCGGGTTGCTCCAAGCCCCATCCAACCTGCCCTTCAACACTGCCAGGGATGGGATCCTCTTCCTCATGTTTTTCTGGCTACAGTAAAGAGAGAGCAGGGAGGGAAGGACCAGCCTAAACTGATGTATAAGTTCTTCCTTGTGTCTAGTAGTTTGCTTGTCGTCCAGTTCACCTCCCAGTGAAGTGGGTGCTGATTCCTCCCCCTCCCAGGAGATGGTCCGTGGGAACAGGTACAGGACCATCAGGTGGAGCTTCCTGGAGTCCCTGGAGCCTCCCCGGGTGGTTCACGTCCGGTGCGACAGCGTCATCAACCGAGGCAACCTGTATGGCCAGGTGACAGTGCGGATGCACACCCGGCAGGTACAGCCCTCCCTGGCCCCCCTGCCTCCCAGCAGCCCCCCCTGCCTCCCAGCAGCCCCCCCTCCCCACCCAGCTCTCAGCCCCACCCGAGTTCCTTGGCTCTTCCCACAGATTCTGGCCATTTACGACCGGTTCGGGCGGCTGATGTACGGGGGGGAGCAGCTCCCCAAGGATGTGCTGGAGTATGTTGTGTTTGAGAGGTACCTGGTCAATCCTTATGGCACCTGGAGGATGCATGGGAAGATTGTTCCAGAGTGGGCTCCACCCAAGGAGCCCATCATTAAGGTAAAGCCACCAGGAGAAGGCACCAGCACGGCCTGGGAACAGAGGTCCTGAGTTAATTCCAGACAAAACCAAAGCTGAGCTTCCTGTAACAGGAAGACAGTGCATTGATCTGGGAGCAGAACTGTTTAATGGTGTGGGATGATCAGCCTCCAGCACCTGGAAGCTGTCACAGGAGGCTGAGGGCATTTGACAGCAGTGATTGAGGGGGTTAGAGCTCCTTGGCAAAGCAGGGCAGGTGCTTTGTCTTCCTGTGTTACTAAAAATGGGTGCTGGAGAGGAAGGAGGTGAGAGCCCTGGTGTAGAGTAAGGCTTGTCATCCCATTCATCCCATTCCCCCTCTGTGTCCTCCCCCACACTGCTGCCACCTGGTCACCTCCCCGTGCGAGGCCTCTGCAGTTCCAGGACCCCCTGCCCACCCTCTCATGCTCCATAACATGAAGAATTCCTGTGACAGCTCTTCAGAGCTGCTCTGGCTGCTGCTGATTTTGTTCCTTGCTCTTCCAGACGGTGATGATTCCTGGCCCAACCGTGGATCCCTCACAAGAGCACAAAGAAGCAAAGTAGGAAATTCCAGAGCCTGGCCAGAGGCAGCAGTGCCCACAGCCCTGGAGGGAAGTGGAGAACATCTATGGATGCAGTGGGTTGGATGTGGCTGTGCCTTCCCAGGGAGCAGCCAGCAAGCAAAATGGCTTCAGAAAGGGACTCCTGCAACTAAAAATCAGCTCCTTGCTCCTTGTTCCTTTAAAGGAGCAAGAGGGTCCTGGGAGGGGGATTCAGATGAGCTCTGAGAAGAGCTTGACTCTGTCCAAGTAGCCCTAAGTGTGCAGCTTCTTACCACTGTGTGTTTGTGAGGCTGGGCAGCCTGTTCCCTTCAGGCCAACCTCTGTCCTGAGCCTGGATCCTGGGAGCCCTTGGCAGCAGAAATCTATCCAGGCATGGGATGTTGGACACTCCCATGGGAAATGTCACAGACCTGGTGGGCTTTCATTAAAACTTGCAGCAGTAGGTGTTGGCACTTTCTTTTCTACTGATTCCCAGGCATCTTTTTATTTTAACAGAAAACAGGGCAAAGCAGCAAGGACACTTCAAATCAGATTGTGCTGGGTGGGCCCTGCAATCAGGCTCCTGCTGCTCGGGTGCTTGTTAGTGGCCCAGCTTCCCAAAGGGGCTGCAGCACAGCAGGGATCACTGAATAAAAGATTTTTGACTCCTCAGGTCAGTGTTTGTGTCAACCAGCACCTTCCTGAGAGGGTGTGTTTTCTCCTGGCTGCTGGGTTCTGGTGAGTTTGTTCCAGAGCTCAGGGATTCAGTGCTGGGATGTTGTCAGTGGGAGGCTGGCACCATCCTGTGGACATGATGGCATTCGCAGCAGGGCCCTTGGATTTGCAGGCTGTGGGGGTTGGGAAAACACTTACCCAAAGGTTCTGTGGCTGGGAGTGAGCCAGTGCTCTCTGCTGGTCCTGCTCTGCTTTGCTTGGATACGTTCCATTTACTTCCAGTCAGAGCAAAATACCCACTAGTCATCATTTCTTTTCAACCTTGTCTTGCTTTTTAGCTCGGGCATTTTCCAGAGCTGCTGAGAGCTCAGTGTGTGTTTTCATCTTCCTTGAAAGAGATTTATGGAGTGTGCAGTGAGAGTTTATGACTCCTTGAGTTTCAAGAGTGTTTCTTGTGGATGATGTTCTTTTGAAAGGGCAGAAGATCATCTTGGTGCTCTGCTGGGAGAGGAGCCAGCAATGGAGAATCCCTCTCATCTTTTTTTGAAGGGTGTCACAACTTCTCTGCCTTTCCTGGAGGGACCTGCTATATTGAGCCTTCTGCCTGTGCTTCATTCAGCAGCTGAGGAGAGATTCCAGGCTCCAGGAGATGTGAGCTGGGCTGGGAGCTAAAATAAATTGAGTGGGAGCTGCCTGGTTGGTGCCTGGTGTGGCTCAAGCAGCTTACACACAGGTATGGATGTGACTCCTCCACCAAAACCTGCAGGTTCTTCAGCTCTAGCTCTGAATGAAAAGAGCTTTTCTGGGAGAACAGCCTCTCCTAGTCCAGCAATGTGTGGGTCCCCATCCCTCTCCCTAATATTCCAAACCTCTGCAACTAAACCACTTCTGTTCCCAGATTTCCCTCCCAGCCTCACTGCCTTCTGTTCTATCTCTGCCTTTTGAGCATGTTTAGGATCTTGCCCACACCCCATAAATCAGCCACCCAGTGTGCACTCTGTGGAAAACACTTTTTATTTTCTGTCTTACACTTCCTTACACAACCAGGTGATTGTTCAGTGCTGGAGAGCACAGGGAGCACGTTGGAGCAACACCCACTTCCTAAGGGGAGTGGGAGTAAAGGAGAGAAGGTCAGGATGAGCCTTGTGGAGACAAGAGGGAGAACTGAAACCTTCACTTCTGCTGTCTCTGTTTTTATTTGTTTCCATTAAGTGGAGCAGAGGGACAGATATTTGGGGAGGCTGGAGGAGTTGGTGTTTCCCAGGGGCTGCTCTCCTGACTCTGAGGCTTCTCCTCTTGTTTTGGAGGTCATTGTGTCTCTGTGATCTCAGGATCTTCTCTGTCACACAGGAGTCTATTTGCCTCTCTGCCCCAGGGGAATGGTCTTGGAAATACAGGCAGGAAGGGAGATGTGGGATGGCAAAAGGCATCCAGCCCTTCTACAGATGGGCTGTAAAAAATGAAGGCTTGCTAGTGCTGGTGGGAATGTTGGTGGAGACAACTCTGGTGATGGGAAGGTGAGCCCTGGGCACGTCTGTGCACGTGGTGAGTGAAGAAGGAACCAGGAACAACAAACTGCTTTGAGAAGTCAGTGGCTTTGTTAGTTAAGACAAACACCTTCCCAGCTGAGAGGAGGTTGGAGAGGGAACACCCACCTCAGCCTGCAGAGGGGCAGGGGTTGCAGCAGAGCAGGGAAGTGGCCTGGAGGTCGGTTCATCCCACCCGGGTCGAGTGGTGGGATTGGGCATCACCAAAGGGCAGGGTTGGGCTGACAGTGCAGGACCAAAATGGAGCAGAAAGGTTTGCTTGGCATGTGTGGAAGTCCTGGGGCTGGCTCTGTGGCTTCAGAGGGTATTTTAAAATAAATGACTTTGTGGCAAGGAAGCAAGATGTGTGGTGGGACTGGCTGGGAACAACTCTTCATCCCCAGCTTCAGAACCTGCCTGGTCCCAGCAGTGCTTACAGAAACCTTCCCTGGCTTCAAATGGAGGTGACAGCAGCACTGGGGGAAGATCCATTGGGTTGCAGAAGCCCTGGAAAGCTGTTTCCACAGAATCACAGACTGGTTTGGGTTGGAAGGGACCTTAAAGATCATCTAGTTCCAACCCCCTGCATGGGCAGGGACACCTCCCACTGGGAGGTGCTTGGGTGCCCTTCTTGGACGGAGGGGACCCTGTGCTGGGCCTGGTACCTGTGGGTGGTGTTTGAAGGCAGGAGATGTTAACTGTCCCCTTGCTGCTGGTCCCCAAGCCTGGCTGGCTTTGGTGGCCACCACTGGAGCTTACTGGGAGCACGGCCATGCCCTGGGCTTTGGTGGACACTCCCATCCCTCCCCGGGCTGTGCAGGCAGGCAGCAGCCTTCAGCTGGAGACCCTCTGTTGGAGAAAGCTGTGTCTGCACCCAGCTGGTGGCTGGAGGGAAGGAGCTACTCGTGGTCCCAGGGGCAGACGTCGGGTTTGGTTCCACTCCCAGCCCTGTCTCCATCCCCAAGGCTCACACCCGCCCTGCCCTGCACCTGGAGGGCCGGGGGGGGATCCACACTCTGCACCTCCTCCCACGGACACACCTCGGAGGGTTTCCTGCTGTCTGTGCTGGGCTTGGCGGGGGCTGGTGGTTGGAAGGGACCTTAAAGATCATCTAGTTCCAACCCCCTGCATGGGCAGGGACACCTCCCACTGGGAGGTGCTTGGGTGCCCTTCTTGGACGGAGGGGACCCTGTGCTGGGCCTGGTACCTGTGGGTGGTGTTTGAAGGCAGGAGATGTTAACTGTCCCCTTGCTGCTGGTCCCCAAGCCTGGCTGGCTTTGGTGGCCACCACTGGAGCTTACTGGGAGCACGGCCATGCCCTGGGCTTTGGTGGACACTCCCATCCCTCCCCGGGCTGTGCAGGCAGGCAGCAGCCTTCAGCTGGAGACCCTCTGTTGGAGAAAGCTGTGTCTGCACCCAGCTGGTGGCTGGAGGGAAGGAGCTACTCGTGGTCCCAGGGGCAGACGTCGGGTTTGGTTCCACTCCCAGCCCTGTCTCCATCCCCAAGGCTCACACCCGCCCTGCCCTGCACCTGGAGGGCCGGGGGGGGATCCACACTCTGCACCTCCTCCCACGGACACACCTCGGAGGGTTTCCTGCTGTCTGTGCTGGGCTTGGCGGGGGCTGGTGGAGCCTCTTCTGCTTCCCAGGGACAAACCCGAGGGGGCGGGATGCCCGGGCCGGTGCGGGGCTTGTGCTCAGCTCCGCCCGGGGGTTTCCCCAGCGGAGCGGACACCTCGCTGGCTCCTGCCACCAGCTTTGGCTTTCCCGGCCCGCTGGGGGACAGTCCCTCAGCCCCCTGGGGCTGCACACCGGGTGTGAAGCCGGTGGGCTGTGCTGCTCCCCGGGGGCAGCTGCCAGATGTGCTGCTCCCGGCGCTGCCCGCCTTCCCGGGCGGCTCTTTGCCTGCTGCAGTTTTTAAGGAGGGCTCCTCCGTGCCCAGGCTCTCCCAGGGGCAGATGGACTCACGCTCCCTGCTCCCCTTCTCCTGAGATTTGGAAGCACCGGCTTGTTTTGGTGGGAAACTCCCCTTCCCCTGGGCTGCTCCTTCCTCTGGCAGCGGTGCAGCCACCTCCCAGGGGCAGATTGCTGCTTTATCGCTGGAACTGAGCTCAGAAGCCTCCCAAGGACACACCTCTGCCTTCAGGCTCTCCACGCTCTGGGATTTCTTGGAAGGTGATTTGGGCAGCCTGGAGCTCCTGCTGCGGGGTTGTTCTGGGGGCTGCTCTGTTCCCATGCTCTCCCAAGGACAGACCTCCTCCTTTGTGCTCTCCATGCTCACCAATGTCTTGGATTTCAGCAGCTCTGTGCTCTTCCTGATGGACCCCACAGTGGTTCTCTCTGTGTCTGTGCTCTCCCAGGGACAGATGGACTCCCGGTCTCTGCTCACTGTCTCCTTTGCAGATGTGCTCTCTGCAGTCTCTTTCAAAAGACCCTGACTTGTTGAAGAGCTTCTGCTCACTGTGGACAGAGCACCCCTGTCTTGTCTTAGTTTCTCTTTACTTAATGGTGGAGCAGCCACCTCCCAGGGGCAGATGTCTGCTTTGTCAGTGGCTTCAGGCTCTGGAGCCTCCCAAGGACACACCTCTGCCTTCAGGCTCTCCACGCTCTGGGATTTCCTTGAGGATGCTTTGGGCAGTGCTGGGATCCCAGAGTGGGACTTCTCGGGGGGCTGCTCCGTGTCTGTGCTCTCCCAGGGACAGACCTCAGCCTTCCTGCTCCCTATGCTCTCTGATGTCTTGGCAGTGGATTTCAGCAGCTCTGTGCTCTTCCTGATGGACCCCGGGGAGATTCCCTCTATGTCTGTGCTCTCCCAGGGACAGATGGACTCCCGGTCTCTGCTCACTGTCTCCTTCTTTGCACGTGTGCTCTCTCCAGTCTCTTTCAAGACACCTTGACTTGTCAAAGGGCTTCTGCTCACTTTACCCGATGGTGGAGCAGTCACCTCCCAGGGGCAGATTTCTGCTTTCTCAGTGGCTTTGAGCTCTGGAGCCTCCCAAGGACACACCTCTGCCTTTAGGCTCTCCACGCTCTGGGATTTCTTGGAAGGGGATTTGGGCAGCCTGGAGCTCCTGCTGCGGGGTTGTTCTGGGGGCTGCTCTGTTCCCATGCTCTCCCAAGGACAGACCTCCTCCTGTATGCTCTCCATGCTCACCAATGTCTTGGATTTCAGCAGCTCTGTGCTCTTCCTGATGGACCCCACAGTGGTTCCCTCTGTCTTTGTGCTCTCCCAAGGACAGATGGACTCCCGGTCTCTGCTCACTGACTCCTTTGCAGACGTGCCTTCTCCAGTCTTTTTGTGGAGCCCTTGACCTTTTGAAGGGCTTCTGCTCACTGTGGACAGAGCATCTTTCTCTAGTCTTGGTTTCTCTTTATTTAATGGTGGAGCAGCCACCTCCCAGGGGCAGATTTCTGCTTTGTCAGTGGCTTCAGGCTCTGGAGCCTCCCAAGGACACACCTCTGCCTTCAGGCTCTCCACGCTCTGGGATTTCCTTGAGGATGCTTTGGGCAGTGCAGGGATCCCAGAGTGGGACTTCTCGGGGGGCTGCTCCGTGTCCGTGCTCTCCCAGGGACAGACCTCAGCCTTCCTGCTCCCTATGCTCTCTGATGTCTTGGCAGTGGATTTCAGCAGCTCTGTGCTCTTCCTGATGGACCCCGGGGAGATTCCCTCTGTGTCTGTGCTCTCCCAGGGACAGATGGACTCCCGGTCTCTACTCACTGACTCCTTTGCAGACGTGCCTTCTCCAGTCTTTTTGTGGAGCCCTTGACCTTTTGAAGGGCTTCTGCTCACTGTGGACAGAGCATCTTTCTCTAGTCTTGGTTTCTCTTTACTTAATGGTGGAGCAGCCACCTCCCAGGGGCAGATTTCTGCTTTCTCAGTGGCTTCAGGCTCAGGAGCCTCCCAAGGACACACCTCTGCCTTCAGGCTCTCCACGCTCTGGGATTTCTTGGAAGGTGATTTGGGCAGCCTGGGGCTCCTGCTGCGGGGTTGTTCTGGGGGCTGCTCTGTTCCCATGCTCTCCCAGGGACAAACCTCCTCCTTTATGCTCCCCACACTCTGGGATTTCTTGGACTCTGTTTTTGAAAGCTCCAGGCTTTTCTTAAGGAACTTTGTGTAAGTCCCAGCGTCCCTGTGCTCCAGCCACTGGCCACCCTTCTCTGCCAGCTTTGCTTTGATACCTTCAAGCCCTCCAGATCCTGGTTTGTTTTCCCCTCTGGAAGTCCCACATGTCTCCTGACTTGGTTTCTCCTTTCCCAGTGGAGCTGCATGTTCTTCCCAAGGGCAGATTTGTGTTTTAGGAAGTGGCTCATCCACCACTTCCCAAGGACAAACATTGGCCTTTTTGCTGTCGATGGTTCCCACTTGCTTAGATGATGCTTTGAGCAGCAGTGGGGGTTTTCCTCTGGCTCCCATGCTGGGCTGCTCCACAACTTCCCCAGGGCTGGGGGCTCCTCCCTGGCTGCTCCCTTTGCCTGTGGTCTCTGGTGTGGCTTTCGGGGCTGCTCTCTGTGGGGAAGCCCCATCCTCCTCTTGGGAAATGTCACCATCGTGTGATTTTCCTGCATCAGATAAGGCTGTTCCTCTCTCCCAAGGGCAAACTTCTCCTGCATTGCTGTCAGCTCCTGCCACTTCCCAGGGACAAACCGAAGCCCGAGCGCTCATTGGGCTCCTCAAGGTCACATCTGGCAGCTCAGAGCTTTTGGGAGCAGGTTTTGGGGGGGGTCCCTCACTGCTGGTGCTGCCCTGGCCCTCCTGCTCTCCCAGAAAACCCCCTGATTTTGGTCTCATTCCCTTGGCCAGCTGCCTCCTCCCTCCCTCCTGCCTCTTTTCCTCCAGCTGAGCCCCTTCCATGTCCCAGGGGCAGATTTCTGCTCTAATGGTGTTTTCCCCTTCCCTGTTCTCCCACGGACAAACCTCAGCCCTCCTGCCCTCCCTGCTGCCCACTTCCTCTGAAGGTGCTGGTGGTTTCTCCATGCCTGGCTCTTCCCCAGGGTGGGGGGCTTCCCCCTTGCTGCCACCTTTCCCTGGAGTGCCCTCGCTCTCCTCCAAGGGATAGATTTCTGTTTTCATGCTGGAATCTGCCCAGCTTTCCCCAGGACAGACCTCTGTCCTTCCAGCTGTCCCCAGAGCAGCCGGGGCCATCTCCAGACTCCGGCTCCTTGGGGAGACCTTCCTGACACCCCAGCTCTCCCTGGGACCAAGGAGCTCAGGTTGGCTGCTGCTCTTCTTCAGCCTATAGCCCGGGCTCTCCTCTCCCAGCAGGACCTCACTGTCCTCCTGGGAAGCCACAGCCTTCTGGCGCAGCAAGGCTCCTTTTCCTGCTGGGATGCCTGAGGCTCCCCGGGGACAAACCTCAGCCCCAGTCCCCTCGGCAGCCTCTCCCTGCCCACCAGCAGTGGGTGGGTGGGACCTGCCTGCAGGGGCTTTTGCACGTGGCTGCTCCACCTCTGCACGGTCTGAAGGGGGGTGGGTGGTCCTGCTGCCCCCCTCAGCCTCCCCTTCCTTTGCTGTGGTCAGGCTCACCCTGGCAGCAGGAGCCTCCTTCTCTAGGGCCTCAGCCTCTTGCTGGGGACAGGTCTGTGCTGTCCCACCACCAGCCCCTGCTGGGCTTTCACGGGGACCTTCTGCTCCTTCTCGGTGACCAGCACAGGGTGGGATCTCATGCACCCCTGAGGGTGGCCCTGGGCCCCCACCAGCACCCACATCCCCCTGGGGAGCGCTGGGCTCCTCTGCCAGTTTCTCAGCACTGCCTGTCCCCAAGGCTGGCCTGTCACACTGCCCCTCTGCCCTGCTGTTCCCCCACGAGTGGGCAGTGGGCTCACTGCCAGGCCTCTGCCCACTCCACCAAGGACTTCTGGTGGCAGAGCCTTGGCTGATCCCCCCGAGGGACACAGCTGATCTCCCTGCCAGGCTGGACCTCTCCTTCCTGCTTCCCCCCTCCTGCTCATGGTCCCTCTTCCTGGAGCTCCCTTTGTCTTCTCTCTTCCCTCTCAGGATGCTTTTCCCCCTGGTGTGGTTGAAGGCTTTGATGGCAAGTCCCAGGCCACGGAGGGAGCTCTGGGAGAACGGCCTCAGGCTCGGGGGGGGGGCCACTGTGTCACCGGGGGTCCCTGAGTCTGCTGCTTCCTTGGCTTTTTGCTTCTGGCTCAGGATCTCCTCCTGGACCAGCTCCCAGGGGCAGACGTGTGCTGGGATGGAGGCCATGGCCCTCAGCTGGCCCCTCCTCTCCAGGGGATGCTCCTGTCCTGGATCTTCCTCTGCTGTCCCCTCTGGCTTTCCCTCCTGTGCTGGGGGGTCCGTGGGGGGGTCCCTGAGTCTGCTGCTTCCTTGGCTTTTTGCTTCTGGCTCAGGATCTCCTCCTGGACCAGCTCCCAGGGGCAGACGTGTGCTGGGATGGAGGCCATGGCCCTCAGCTGGCCCCTCCTCTCCAGGGGATGCTCCTGTCCTGGATCTTCCTCTGCTGTCCCCTCTGGCTTTCCCTCCTGTGCTGGGGGGTCCGTGGGTGGCTCCGGGCTGTCCCCAGGTGGCTCTGGGCTGTCCCTAGAAGGTGTGGCACGGAGCCCCAGGCTCTGGTAACGGACAGGGGGTGGTGGGGGGGTCCTCCTCACTGCCACCCTCACCCGTCCAGGCAGGTGGGAGCTGTCAACACTGATGCTCTTGATGGGTGTGTAGGTGACATGTCTCTGCACCTTCCCACGGCCCAGGGGGGACAAGTGCTCCTGGGGACGCCCCTGGGTGGGGCTGGAATCAGCTGGTGGGATGGCATCAGCTGCACTGGGGCTTTGGGTCTTCCTGACTTCTTTTCCTTGGCCCATGGGGTGCCCCGAGGAGGGGATGGGTGGGTGAGGGTCTCCGTGCCATTCTGCTCGGCTGGCAGTGAGCAGGGCCACCTCCCGTGCCCCAGACACCACGCTGTGTGACTTCTGCAGGGGGGCTGCGTGGGGCAGGGGGGGCTGCCCGGGCCCCACCAGGTTCTGGGCACTGGCTGACTTGCAGACGAGCGGGGCAGCGTCGAGGGACTCGCCGTCCGATTTCTCCGAGGCCCCGGGCAC